ATATATATATATATATATATATATATATACACACACATATATATATATATATATATATATGGATATATGCTTGTTCATCGTTGCGTATACATTGTTATCTGCACAAATAGTTATATATGCATGACTTATGTGTGTATGCTATTGTACTTATTGATCTATATGGACGTAAAGGGATCCTTTAAGTTGGTATCTCTTGCAACCGATGCCGTGTATGATCTATGGGCATCAAAATGCTGAGTACATTTTCTCAATCTGTATTGAGCTGTTTTCCATTCCTTCGGAAATCAAAACTTATTGTTGCCTGTGGCTGAAATATATTCAGTTGTATCTACTTGGGTTTACCTATAACTACAGGCATTTATGTACTTATATATGTTATTAAACACGCATTGTTGTGAAGACTATCAGATGTTGTATCTTGCATCTTGCATCTTCGAACGTCCGATATCGTGCCATGTTCGTATGTGTAACATTTGCTGCTTTATATTTTCGTATTGTATGTGTATTCAATCAGTTAATATGTATTTATAACTATTGGGCTATTGTTTCCATCGAAGGGAGCAATGCGCGTTTTTCTTGTTGTATATTTACATTGTCATGTATGTATATACATCTATACAATCCTGTGCTTAACGTCTGTATGTACATATGTACACCTTTAACACGCACACACACACACATACACACCTATTTATATATATATATATATATATATTCATCAATATCGTTTACACATAACTGTGTATGTATCTATATATATACTCCCGCAGACAGTAATATTCATAAATGTATTTCTGTAGACTCACTACACTATCTCTTCTTATCCCATGAATAGTCGCCACAACTAGTGGAGTGGTACTGATGCCGACAAATAATCGAGACGGCATGGATACGCCCGGCGCCCTTGAGGATGCCGAAAGAAATGAAAACGATGATATGGGTAAGAAAGTCACACTTCAGTACAATAGATGGGCGTTGCATGTATCTTCTATTATCTTGATCTCACCCGGAACATTGACCTTTTCACGCCACACATACTTGTTCAGCGTGTATTTATATGCGCCATACGGTACTGTGACCATTTTGCACCCCAAATGCTTCAAAATTGAACTTATCATGCATGTTATTATATTCTCACCCATCCAATACTGCACTCTAAACCCTGCCTTCATTCAATCACAACGGCTGCCGACTGCACAGCTCAGGACCTGGCGAATGCGCTCCCGGATTTCGGAGATGATATGGTGTGTTTGATAATTGTGATGATACTAGTTGATTTGTATGGATGATATGTGTTGGTTCTATTGATGATTTAATGGGATGATTTGTATTGATGGTAATATGTCTTTATTTCGATTTTTCTGAAGGTAATGCATTTTCGTAATTTCTGGTTCGTTTATACTGATGGTAATGCATATTTGTTAATTCTGGTTGGTTTGTATTGATGGTGATGTATATTCATTATATCTGGTTGGTTTATATTGATTATCTGATGTCTTGATGTGGACTTTCTCGCCAGTAGTCATGCGTGTGGGCCTCTGCTCATCCTTTTCGGACAGCTGGTGTCTCTTGATTCTCCAGCCATTTCGGGTTGTACCAAGCCCCCCTCCCATTTTGCTACCACTGATGTCTATACACCCACATTCGTCTGGGGTTCGCAGATGACCACACATATATACGTATTCACTTACACACCCATCAGTTTTCAAACGTTTGAGATACGTACGCATACATCGGAAGACTGTCTGGTATCCTGCCTGTCGTATATATTCTATGAGTATCCAACTGTATGGGCGTACTAACGCGGCTACTTCACACTGCACCCATGCACCCGCCCCTCCCCAGCACTCTGACGAGGAGGACGACGACGATGACGCCAAGGACTCTGCAGGTCACACGGAAGAGACAGACAACCACACCATCACCACACCCAAAGACGACCAGAGGGGTCTCAGCGCACACGCCGGCAATGGCGGGGACGTGGGTCATGGCTACGGAAGCAACGTGTTACACGCTGGCTTTCAGGCGGACGACGGCGGTGGTGTGCACGGGACTGAGCTCACAGGGGAGACTGCACACGCACATGCGGATGGCACGCAGGAGCTGAGCCTGGTGGACGCAAACAGTACCTCTGCACCGACAGCTGCGCCTGGGAGCGGGTCTGCTAGTAGTGGTGGTGCGGGTGGTGCAGAGTTTAACAGCAGCACCCTGGCACACACACCCTCACAGACGGGCGCCAGTGTGAGTGATACTGGCAATGCGACTGCTATTACAGCCGCAGCGAATGCCCTGGCGCAGTTACAGCCCCACGCCAGCTTAACTATTGGCGTGGCCCTGTCACCGCTGGGCGTACAGTTGGGGTCGTCTGGGCCTCAGCAACCACAGCCGAGCAACCAGAGCGACCAGACCCACAACGATGAGGTGCGGCAGATACTACAGCAGCAACGGCAACAGAAGCAGCCACAGCAGCAGCAACGGCAACAGCAGCAGCCACAGCAGCAGCCACAGCCACAGCAGGGACAAGCAGTGGGCAGTCAACCGTTCACGTACAATGGCGGCGCACAGATGCCACCACAGCACCAGCAGACCACGCCGCAGTTAGAACTCAGTGATCCCGCGAGTGTCAAGCGTAGCTATGATGCAATGGTTGCCGGAGATGCGGCGGCGGTGCATTTGGATAGACAAACCTCTGAGGAACGTCATCAGGCGCAGAGACGCCTGTCGGGAAGTGTCGGGGCGGTGGGAGGTACGGATACCAGTACAGTCGCAGGCCAGCCGATGGCACAGCAGAACACGAGGGAGAGAATGGCCGCACAGGGGAAAGCCGCGGATGAGACCAAGCCGAAGGAACAGTATCAGCACCAAGTGTCCAACGAAGGCAGTAATAAGGCCAATGCGATTGGGCGGCGCACGTCGGATCATGCGTATGGGGTGCAGCAGAATTTCCTGCAGCGAACCCTGAGCCGGCAATCGGGGGAGGGCCACCAACCACCCTTGCAACTCAGTCAACCCCAGAAGAACCAAACACAGCAACAACAACAACATCATCAGCAACAGTTGCAGAAACAGCTGTCAATGAATGCGTCATCCCCATACCAAATAGCCACGCCCGGGGGACGGTTCCAAGCCATGCCTTCCTCGGGTATGCACAGCAACGGGCAGTTGCAGACGTTTGATATACAACAGGGTGTGACCCAGCAACCAGCGAATACCCTCACACACACGAACACACACACGAGTCCGGCGGCCAACGGCGGCAGTCCGGCAGCCGTAGGGGGACAGGGACAAGCGAATGCAAGTGCCGAGACAGGCGCAAAGAACACCCTAGACGCCACTCTGTCTAATACCGCACCCATGCTGAACGGAACGGCCGGCCACACGCTGTATCCGGGTGCCTTGGGCGGGGGTGTGTACTCAACCGGACCACAGCTGATGCGTAATCTGTCTACTACCAGTATAAGCATGTCTTCCAGCGCCACCTCTCCCGCGGGTATGCGCGCGTCGCAAACGTTGGCGCCAGGCCAGCTGATGAACATGGTGCAGGCCCAGAACCCCCAAGCACTCGCGCTGCAACAGTACCAGAAGCAGGTGCAGCGCTTACTGTTCTTCTACCTACACGCCCCCACCTGTCAGAAGGAGAAGGGCTGTGCCGAGGCGTGTACGACTATGAAACGTGTGCTGGAGCACATCAAGGGGTGTTCGGATACCACGCAATGTGACACGTTACACTGTACTGAGACCCGCAAGATCATGGCGCATTGGGAGGGGTGCAAGCAGCCCACGTGCGGCTACTGCGAGCCTGTGCGCAGGGAGATGCACCGCAGGCAGTCCCAAGCTTTGGTATGTTATGTTTGCACGCCCGTGTCTGTGCGCGTATATATATATATATATATTCATTGTGTAGGTGTACGTGTATGTGCACGTGTGTGCATGTGTATGTGCATGTGTATATGTACATGTGTGCGTGTGTGACTTTATTGTCTATTTGTATATGGCTTTATTTCTATATAAGGAATATATATCAATTTATAAACATCTATGTATGCTTATCTGATAGCGAGTCAGTGAATTTGTGTGCACGAGTGGATGTGTGTGTTTGTACTTCGGCTCATTCTTATTGATCTATGCGTCAGCGTATAATATCGACTGAGTGAGTCAGGCCTATCCTCGATTCATAGTATAGATCTACCTACCTTGCACGATACCAACCTCCGATATCCGTCGTTACTACAGCACCTAGCTTAGTCCATACCTCTACGTCTAATACCACAAACCCCAACCCCAACCTCTTGAAAACCCTACACCCCCAAACCCTACAGCTGTCGTCACAGCAGCAAGAATCCACTGGGGCGCTCAGCCTAGCCGATATGTTACGCACACCGCCCCCGCCCCCACCGCAACTAGCTGAGCAGCTCAAACGGTCCATGAGCACAGGCATGCACGGGGGTGACACCTCCGCGTCAGTGGATGTCTTGACGGCCCGGGAGAGGAAGGACATTGTGATGAATTTGGCCAAGATACTGGGGACGTTGAGTTCCGAGAAGGATTCCAATACGCTCAATAAGAGTGCCGAGGCGCTGGAGGAGAGCACATTTAAATCTTCTGTGACGACGGTATGTGTTGTTGGTGCTTGGTGGTCACGGTTGGAGGTTAGAGAATGGAGGTGGTCTAGGGTGACCGTAGGGGATGTTTCGGTTGTCCAAGAGATCACAAGATGCCCCCATCTGTACCCCTTGTTGTACGCGTTTGGCCAGCGCATGTGTATGTGCATTTTGAGTTGCCTACCAGTTGCAAGCGGGCCCTCTAAACCCTAAAACTATTTACTGCATTCCACAATGGAGAACTCCAGGTGGTCTGTTTGTAAGTGGGTTATATGTATATAGCTTCTATGGTCTATTTTCACAGCTATCGGACGTACATGTATTCTATATATCCCGGTATGTTCCTCTTGCTTGCATCCGTGCAATGCCCCTGCAGCGCTCTCCCAAGTGCGCAGACCACTACTACCTTCCGATTTGAGACTGTTGCTTCATCACCTACACTTGGATGCAACGAAGCTTAAGGCTATCTATATTACAATAGCACCGCCCTTGGCTGACAGAGTTTCTATATAACAATTTCACTGTTTTCGGACTTCATTCTAACCTGCTGATGCATACCACCACAGGGCGACTACTTCACCGCAATACACTACCGACAGGTGATCTGGCATCGCTTAAAGGACCACCAGGGTATGTGCGCGACTGTATGTCTGTGATATGTATATATATATATGCATATATATATATTTAATATATATATATATATGTATAGATATAAATACACTCACATATATATATACACACATATATATATATATATATATTCACACACACACAAACACACTCACACACACACATATATATATAGATATAGATATAGATATATATTAAAGACAATCTCTGCTGAATATCATGTATGCGATATTTATTTATATATCAAATTCTACTTCAGGTGTTTTAGCTGAACAACAACGGTGGCGGAATCTCTGCAACGCCATCATGGCCAAAATCAAACGAGGTGAGGAATTGACCGAAAAGGAAAAGGCCGTCCACACCCGAATGCTAGAAGCTCAGCAAAACAGACTGCGCCAAACCCAGCTCAAAACGGCAGTCACGGGTGATTTAGGATCTACAAGTGGTGCTCAGGGGGTCTCTCCAGGGCCTCTGGGCGGTGCCACAGACGCCAGTACAACCGGCATTCTCTCCATGAACGCGGCTGGGGGTAGTGCCGCATCGACACCTGGCCACCTGACCTCCGCCGCCTTACCTACCAATGTACCTACCACCGTATCCAACATGCCCACGTCTGTGCCCGTCAACCACAGTCTCTCTACCCAGGCCAACGGCACGACTACCACACCCGCTGCCTTAGCCCTCCCCGGGCTCACAGGCAGCATTCCCAACCTGACTGCCAATGTACCGAACATCCCCACACAGCCTGCTACACTACCTGCGCTTGGCGATGCTTCTTCGGTGCTCGGGGCGCTCCCTGGCCTCTCCAGCGTACCTTCCAACATGTCTGTGGGATTACCAGGGTTGTCAGAACAACACCCGCCCCTGTCCACCGTGACGTCGGGGGCTTCTAGTGCGTTGCCAGGGTTGCCGGGCAGTCTGCCGGGCCTCAGTGGATTGCCTGGGCTGCCACCTTCAGCCCAAGCACAGGCGAATGCGCTGGCGTCTACGCTGAGGTGTGTTTTGTGGTTTGTGCATGGGTATAAGGTTTAGGGTGTAGGGTATGAAAATCTCGAGTTTAGGGTTTGTTATAGAGTTTAGGATTCAAGATTGTGGAATATAGGGCTTCAGGCTTTGAGGGTTTGCGTTGTTTACGTGTGCGTGCTTGTATATATATATATTCTCATTCATGTTCATATTTTTTATCGAGATATAGGGCACAATACGATGTTGGTAATATTCAAACTATTGCATAGCTTGACGTACGTTACATGCAATATGCTGTATTGTAACTTATGGTTCAGTTACTTGAGAGAGATGCACAATATGTATGCTAATCATAGTATCATGTCCATATGCTGCTCCATATATGTTGTTTGCTATGACATATTCTTATGTGTCGTTTATATCATCTCTGGTATATTCACACGCTGGTCATAAAGCCCAAAAAATGGCTCAATGTGCACAATATCACACCCACCACTGGTATAACCTCGCACGCCCCATCTCACCTTTGCGACCGTATCTTATTCTGCGTCTCAGTTCGTCGAGTGTGGGTAGTACTAAGAAGGAGACAAAGAAAAAACCCAAGAAGCCACCCAAGGAAAAGGCGCCGAAGGATAAACCCAGCACGGCCAAACGCAAAAACGATGGCACCGTGAAGAAGGAAGGTGGCACGAAGAAACCGAAGACGGTGAAGGCCGAGAAAGTTAAGGTGGGTGTGACATATGGGTTGTACCCTGTGAGACTGATAGTAAGGATGCGTGCGTGTGTACTTGTGCACGTCTCTGTCTTTACCTTGAGACAGACGCGTGAGTAGCATCTGATCTACGCACATCATTATATGTACTTGTTGCACTTCCATACTATTTTCGTACGTGTGCATTTGTGCATTTGCTCAGGTCTGTCCCAATTTTTATCCCAGGCGGTGTTGAACGAGGAGGATTCGAAGGCTTCCATCGCCACAGACAAAGACGCCTCTAAAGTCAGGAAATCAGACAAGGACAAGGACACCACAAGCAAAGGCAAATCCGACAAGAGTGATAAAAGCGACAAACCCGACAAAAGCGACAAGGACGCGAAGGATGCCAAGGAGAAGAAAAAGAAAGCCAACGCTGCGCGGAAGCGATCCAAGCTCGCGTCAACATCGTCATTGAAAGACATCAAGACAGAAGACGGTGTGGCTGAGTCCGTAGATGGCTCTAGCTCCAAGAAGGTGAGCATAAATACTGAGTGCGGGTGTGTGTGTTTACGTGTGTGTGTGTATGTATGTATGTATATCGTACTGTTTTTAACATCACCAGCTGGAGAGACTGCGCATATGTACATCATTCGGTAGCAGACGTCCTGTGGTTGCCGGTTATCTAGCACACTCCATGTCTCCATGTTTAAGCACACTCCACTCCATGTCTCAGAGGGCTCATCATCCTGTTCGTATCTAGCCACAGTACCATCCACCTCGAGTGCTAGCGCATCTACCCAAGCATCCCCTATTCCCATAACATCCATACAATCACAGTCCGTGGCGCAGCTCAGTATTATTTTGTGTTTGTTTGGGAGATTGTCTCGCTCATAGTCTGGTTTATACCACGTTTAAATACAGTCCACTACACACGAGAATGGCACCAAACCCGCCAAGAGCAGCAAGGACGCAAAGGGTATTAAAAGTGAGAAGGAGGCATCTAAGGATGCCAAACGCGACAAGGAGGCCAAGGAGAGGAAAAAGAAGGCCAATGCGGCGCGCAAGAGGGCCAAGGCGGCGGTCATCATTCCGGCCAAGAAATACACAGCAGCCGATGTCAAGAACGATGTCATGGAGGTGCACAAGACGGTGAGTGAGTGTCATATAGGGAGTGGTTAGGGTTTGGGGTGTATGGGGTTGGTGTTGTAAGCCTTGAGATCTGTTTAGTGCGGCAATGAAGGACACGGCAGCAGATGAAGAGTTCGATGTGATGCATCTGCGGAGGACGGTGTATGTGTGTTGTGCATTGCGATGTATGTATGTATGCGTATTTGTGGCCTGATAGGCTGTGTGACTGATATATTTATGCATATGTATGTGCATTTGTGTATGAGCGCACATTTGTGAAGTTGCTTTGGGTGCTATAAGAGAAAATGCCACTGTCTCGAATTGCGTTCGCTTCGAAAGTCGCCACTACACAAGCATTTGTGTATCTCGAAAGCAAATACACATTAAATCTGCAGTAGTACTTCACTCCTGTATAGTGTACATCAAAGTATAGTCTGTCCATACCGTATTCTCCTATCTACTCACCAGGTAACCAAATACAAGATGTTTTGTAGTCTAATCTGTAACATATATCATACAATATAATCACTTCTCTCCAGGTTATGGCACACGAGGAGGCCTTCCCCTTTCTCGCGCCAGTCGATTTCGTTACACTCGCTCTACCGGACTATCTGACCGTAGTGACCCGGCCTATGGATTTGGGCACTATAGGTATGTTTATATATAATATATATATGTATGTATACATACATAAATACATATAAATATATATATATATAGCATATATGTGTTTCGCTTGATGCAGATGTAGATTTAGATGTATATATAGATGTACACACACACACATATATATATGTAGATATAGATATAGATATATATTCATATGTGGATATAGATAAATAATATATCTTTATAGATATAGATAAATAATATATCTTTATAGATATAAAGTTATTATATATATCTCGATGTCCTTTTCAACTTCAACATAGTAATTTCAGAGAAATTTGCTTTTTCATATCGAGCAAGGTGCCCATACAAATGCCTATTCACATAAGAATACATGCTCACATACTCAATCTAACATACACACTATGACCTATCCAGAGCAGCAAGATATCCATCCACACACACATACATTATACATACAATGCAGGAACATACATGCACATAAACACACCCATACATATGAGAGTCCCACATGCACATTCTTCAAACGGTTATCTGTTCTGTACCTTTCCAGAGGAGAAGCTCAACCGCGACGAATACGCAGACCACATTGAGTATTGTTCCGACGTCCGGCTGGTGTTTGAAAACGCGTGGTTGTACAACAAAAAGCTCACGAAAATATATAAGATGACCACGCGTGTATCCGAATACTGGGAGAAGCTGATAGCCGAGAAGATGGAAGAGCTGGGCTATTGCTGCGCAGGCCAGCCGAGGTTCTGGAATCCAGGCCAGGTATGGTGGTACGGTGTCGCTTGGATGTTAAACACATACATGCACACATATGCACACACACACATACCCGCATACATATATATGTTCATATGCATATATATGTATATGTGTATGTATGTATATATATATATATATATATCTATAGACATATATATATAAATATTTATATGCATATATATATATATACATATCTACATACATATATCTATATAAATATATATGTATATATAAACATATATATATATGATACCAATTTGCCACAGATTTGATTCTGAGTTGTTTCATCCCTAATTGAAACGCTTCCTGTACGGGAATGCCACAGATCTGGTGCTGTAGTGAGATGGACGGTGGTTATAGTCTCATCCCCCGAGGCATGGAATATCATAACTATACCGATGAATTAGATCCAACAAAGACCTACAACATTTGCGGAAGGTACTTGTGAGCTGCTAAGGGCAGGTCAATGTATGGCTCCTTCTCGTGCACGCGTCATCGTTGTCGTGTGCGTAGCTGTATATTATATATTCAGCCTTCTTGTGTACGTCTTCAGCCTTCTTGTGAACGTTTATAGCCTTCGTGTGTATGTCTTCAGCCTTCTTGTGTAAGTCTTCAGCCTTCTTGTGAACGTTTATAGCCTTCGTGTGTACGTCTTCAGCCTTCTTGTGTATGTCTTCAGCCTTCTTGTGTACGTCTTCAGCCTTCTTGTGAACGTTTATAGCCTTCGTGTGTACGTCTTCAGCCTTCTTGTGTATGTCTTCAGCCTTCTTGTGTACGTCTTCAGCCTTCTCGTGTACGTCTTCAGCCCGCTTGAGTGCGCCTGGTCGTCTATCTGTAAAGTGTTTAGGGTATTCTTCACGCAAAGTCCATTCTCCTCCCCTCTTGTCTCGTTTCTAATACCATCCTTCGTTTGGGTTCCGACATTTTCCTAATTCCCCATTTTTTTCGGCCTAATTTTTATATTCGCTGCAGGTGCTACGATGCCTCGCAAGACGGTACCATTACGCTCGTAGGCGCTTCGGCCGAATTGTTTATTTATCCCAAACAGAATTTTGTGCCCAAACTGAACAACACCATGGAGCAAGAACCGGTACGTCCCGGAATAGAACCTCGCACTGGTTGCTGGGCTCTGGCACTGCATCTTTATTTGGCTATTTCAAATCATGTATATATGTGTCTTATATACATACGCTGATATTTTGTACGCCCGTATGTAGACACACGTACACACACATACACCTATATATATATATAAACATACACTGATTCTTTGTCCGCTATACGTCCCGTCTAACAGTGGCTACCATGCGTCGGCTGTGGCATGCGCGTGCATTCCGTCTGCCGATTACACAACAAGTTCATGACGAAGAAGATATACTGCGCACGCTGCGAAAAGCTGAACATCAAGAACGACGACAAGAAATCATATGTTAAATACTCAGCCGAAAGTAAGTCTCGGTACTCTGTCACGGGTGATGGAGAAGTGTTGTGTGTACTGGACATATGTTTGGTGCTGGGTATAGGATGTAACAATATGATACGCATTGTATTATCGAGAAGTGTTGTGTGTAGGATATATGTTTGGTGCTCGGTATAGGATGTAAGGATATGATAATATCGAGAAGTGTTGTGTATTCTGGATCTATGTTTGGTGCTGGGTATAGGATGTAAGGATATGATGCGCATTGTGATCGGCCGAATGTATGCCAGTCTGTCGAGTCTCTCTATACTGACCACAAGACAGCATATGTGGAGTTCTCTCCCACACTGTGTTGTGTGCCATTGCGGTATATCACGGCGTGAACAACGTACGTGCCACGCTCTATCTAGCGTAGGTCTCGGGATCGGGATATATTTATATTCGGTTGCTATGGTGATGATAGAAAACATATTAGAATACACCTGCGTTCTAGATTCTATCCTCGACATCAATATCATCAAGAGGGTGTCCCATAAGTAGGCCCTGTGAGTCTGATATAATCTATGGGTGTCTAGTCCTATGCCCGTGTCATGCCGCGCGAAGTTGGCAAACCCGCGGGTAGTAGGAGTAGTACCTCTCAAGCGCGACTCGAGGTGTAGAGTGGCATAGTATAGGCTGGTCTGGTCTTCTGTATCGTACTACCAAACCACCGCAGTGTTAAATTCCGTGTCAATAATATGTTTCTGTTCACATGCCGAGTTTTTTATTGGTGGAGGTCTCAGTACGCTGTGCTGGTGTGTGGGGCCCATTGCGAGTGGTATGCCACGCCTTCTGGATTAGCCAACCGACAACAGTACTTAGTACTTATGTTGTGTGTGCTGCGTTCGTGTGCGATATTGTTGAATGTGCCTATATTTCAACACAACCCAAGGCACAACTCTATTGACCATATGGTGTATGCCTTACTCCTCGTATAGAATAAATTTAACCACGCACTCTCGTCTTCATTCCGGCACGCCCAAATAGAACTCACAGGATGTAATGTGCTTAGGATATATCCCCTTGATTTCGTACCACCCAACGTTTAGTAACATAACCCTTAAAATACCCCCCCCCCCCGCACAACCACCTCTCACACTCACACTCACACATACTCTCTCTCTCTCTCTCTCTCTCTTTCTTAACAGAACTGGAGAAGTCCAAAGTGTCTGACCATATTGAAATGCGAATAGCGGAGCTGTTGGAAGGCTCCGGGTCAAACAAGGTTACAGTGCGTATGCTCAACAACGATGACAAAGAATTTAGTCCAGGGCCCATGATTTCGGCAAGGTGGGTGTATCTTGTTACGGACCCGTTGTCTATGTTTATTATTATTTTATAGTCGTATAAGATGGTAGTATTGAAGGGAGGATGTTTATGGAGAAAAGTGGCCGGCGATTGTGTGCTGTAAGGATATTATTATTGTATAATCGTATAAGATGGTAGAATTGAAGGGAGTATATGTTTAGGGAGAAAGGTGGCCGGCGTTTGTGTGCTGTGAGTCGGGTAGTGTACTTGTGCTTGTGAGAGTCACTGCATTTGTATGTAAACCTGTGGTATATGTTTCAGTTCTATTCATACTTACCTGTGCACGTGGCGTGCCGTATGTGTTGCCAGCAACAACATCGACAACACGCATTAGATTAAGTGTAAACTATTATACCTACACTGTCGACTACTTATATCTACACTTTCAACTACTTATACCTACACTGTCAACTACAATGCGTGCTATGTGGGTATCATCTGCCGGACACGCGCAGTCCTTCTACTTGTACACAGTGCAACTATTTAATAGGATTTGCCCATCTCGTGGTGTGAGCTGCATCACATCCGTGGACACACAGACCCACTTCAGGTTATATACTTTGCGTACTACAGTGAGTTACACACACTCACCTGTGTAACCTGTGCTCTATCCTTCGTGCTCAGGTATCCGGATTTGCCCAAGTCTCTAAACTATAGACACAAAGCCATTTTCTGCTTCCAGAAACAGGACGGCGTGGATGTGTGCTTCTGGGGGATGCACCTCCACGAGTACGGACCTGAGTGTCCACAGCCCAATAAGAATAGGGTGTACATTTCTTATCTGGATAGGTAAGCATGCACGCCACTATACATTGTGTGTATCACATACGCTCCGTTGTGGTTGTTCCGATGCCGTGCGCAATATACTGTTCCCTCGTTCTGACCGCAGAGACTATCAGAAGTCCCTTTCCCTTCGCGATCACTCGGCGCGTGTCACAGTACTAGTATCAACCTGTTTTTGCACATGACGGACCGATGTATACCATATGCTACCTAAGTGGTAGGGCTACAAGATAACTAGTGATAGGACTATTTGATATAGTACGACAAGACTATCCGAAGGGACGCCCATCCAACTTCTTCTGCATTGGGGTTCACCCCTGTTTCCTCATCTCTTGCTTAGCATAAGGCTCTAATATCAGGGCAGGCTTACTACTGTAGCACATATACCTCGCGCTATACATTGTGCCCGGTATCAAGCGTGAGACTTACCAATACCACCAGTAGAGAGCATCAATATACTTTCGACTCTTGGCTGTGTACCCAAAACCCTAAAACCCTGTACAAGCAGAGCCCCATGAGCATATTAGGCAAGCACTCTCATCTCGCCTTCTGCACCCTTGACTGACACTACTAGTGTCAAGGTAGGTGGTTGGGTACTACAAGTAGATTCCACCTGCATTCTAGGCACTCGTATCTGATCTCCTGCACCCCTGACATTACCAGTATCAAGATATTTCAACCGGCGGAAAAGCGAACCGATGTCTACAAAGAACTGCTCGTGGCGTATCTCGAGTACTGTAAGATGGTGGGCTATGCGTATGCCCATATATGGTCATGTCCCCCGGGCGCCGGCGATGACTATATCTTTTACTGCCATCCGGAAGACCAGAAAACACCCAAACCAAAGCGATTACTGGACTGGTACAAGTCGATGTTGGTATGTTGCATGGCTAATTTATCCAATAAATAGTGGTCACTCATTCTTCTTGTTGTCGCATACCATGACTAGGCCAAGCCATAACCCTAAAACCTTCGACCCCAAACCCAAAACCTTCTACCCTAAACCCTAAACCCTTTCCGCAGGCGAATGCTAAAGAGCGTGGGATTGTACCCGCGTGGTCGGACATCATCACGTGGCGCGACAACACAGAGATCAGCACAGCGAAGAACCTGCCGCTGCTCAAGGGGGACTTCTGGCCAGAGATACTCGAGCAGAACATCAAGGCGTTGGAGAAGGAGAAGGTCGAGAAGCAGAAGGAGGCTGAGAAAGCCATTGAGGCGCTGAAGAATGGCAAGGGCAAGAGCAAGAAAGGTGAGGGCTTGTGTGGGTGGGGTATAGTGGGCTGTGGCGCTGAGCCTTCGGGTGGCGGTTCGACTGCACACGTGACTGACATGCGGGTGTGGTGTGTGTGTGTGTATGTAATTATATATATATATATAATTATTTATATATATGTATGTGTGTTTGTTTGTGTGTGTGTGTGTATGTAATTATATATATATATATATATAATTATTATATATATGTGTTGTTTGTTGTGTGTGTGTGTAT